TTATTTTTTTTTTTTTTTTTTTTGGAAATTTTTTCACAAAATTAATTACTCAAAATTCCCTATGTGTAAATTTGACAAAATTTTAGAAAATTATAATTTAATAAAAATTTTTAATTTCACGATCTCTATTTGAGTGAAACAAAAATGTCACTCAATGGTTATTGCATATTTTCACTATCCATTTTCCATACAATGACATATATGTATGATATTTGTTTATTGTCACCTCTATTATCATATTATTATTGCCCTTTTTGAAAATTGATAGATCCAATTATTTACATTGTAACATTGGCATTACTTCTTTTCATATATAATCCTAAATCCTATAATTAGCGTAATTAAATATTTGCCATCAGAAATGAAAGATTCGATTTTTCGCTAAAGTAAAATATATTGCAAAAAGTTTTTTGTAACACATTTATTTTATCCATAATTTGTAAAATTTTATAAATCATATGAAATATTTATTATAATTTATATTTCCAATTTCTTCCATTTCCCTTTATTTAATTTTTCTTAAAAAAAAAAAAAAAAAAAACGAAAGAAATAATTCCAGAAGAAAATATCTATTTTTAATTTTGATATTTCAAATATTTGACGATCAAAAAACCTGTAATAGTTCAAATAAAATTATGCGATACATTGATAAACAAATGATCATTATCATTATTGTTATTAATGGATGTTACAGAGTTACTATCATGATTGTTTCAGTTCAATGATGACTACTAAAGTGATCCGGTTCTGTTCGGGAAGAATTATGCAATTGATAGGATTGAAAGTGGTACAGGGTGACACCATTCCTGTGCAAAAATTACATTCTTGTCTGTTTGATCGAAATTGAATTACATCACCTTTAATGCGTTCATTTAAACTTTTATAGAGGGGGGTTTTTTTTCCTTTTTTTTTTCTTCTATATGGGAGAGGAAAAATACGGAAAGTTTTTCGTATTTAATGATTAAAATTGCATAGGAATGTGAATTAAAAAAAAAAAAAAAGCAAAGAAACTCGAATTATATAATCGGAAATATAAATTGGAAAAGAATGAATGATAGCCAATGAGTAGTGATATATTATTGAATTACTACTACTAATTGAGGGGACCAATATAAGTTTACGTTTTTTTCTTTTCTTTTTGAAAATAAAAAAAATAAAAGAGAGAAAATTAAAATTTACAGTTACACTTTAATGATATTCAAATTTTGATGCTAAATATCATGAAATACTAATTGTACAAATGATGTCTAAAGTTAATGCTAACTTATATCATAGCTACTTTTATTTTTATTTAAAGGTAGCAATTCTTGATTTATTCTTCTTTACTAAGTTTAAAATTTGCAAATATCATAATTGCAAGGTAAATTTGTAACTGAGATGATTACTTCAACGATTTCTTTAATTAGAAGAATTCATGATGCTTTCATGTACTCTTTTTATTAAAGAAGCCGCTGAAGAACGATTAACTTAATTCAGGCTTCATGTCCTACTTCAACTTCAATATCATATTTGCTACAAAACTTATTGTTCAGAAAATTTACCTCCCTTATGATATCAAATTTTGCATATCGAAAATATGGATAGGTAAACAGGTAAGATGATGACGATAGGTAATTTTGACATCAAATACCTTGATAACCAATAAATCGAACTAATTCTGCAAACAACGAGAAAATATGCTTGTTCACTTGTTGTTATACTATTATTATATGTATTGCAGTGAAAAATTAATTATCTTCATAAAAATATCATTGTAAAATTAAAATAATTTAAAATATTTATCATGATATATTGACCCATTGTGGTTGTAAAGATTACCATTGCTATTGATGATTTTGATTTGGTCGTAATGTTGATATTGCTGTTGATAGTACAGGTGTAGACAATGATGATGTTAATGATTGCTGCAATTGTTTTTGCTGATCTTTAACATTTGTTATTTCAGGTTCTTTCTGATTCATTCTCATTACATCTTCTTTAATAGCTTTTTCGCATTCTACATCCGATGATATGCTTCTTGTTGTAGATCGTGTAGATGTCATATCTTCATCCCAATCAAATCGTGAATTAAGTTCTAATTTCCATTCTTTTTTAATCTAAATTTTAATACATTATGATATCATTCCTTATTAATAATACAATAATCAATAAAATATTTCATAATTATAAACAAATGATATACTTACATCCATTAATATATCCATAAATTCATGATAATTTGGACTATCCTCAAATACTAGTTCATCGATCATTTCCATTAATGTTTCATATTGCTTCGGGCATTGATGAAGAAATTGTGCTCGACCTATATCACGAGCCATCATTTTAGCTGCTTGTACACCAGCACGTTCTGTATATGATAATAATTTAATTTTAAAAAAAAAAGAAACTTAATTATAGTAAAATAATTACTATCAAGATATCAACAATAATTAATTGATAATAATATTATTTACCAGAAACATATCGCCATGGTAAGGAGCCACGAGTAATTTCAACGAGCAAATAAAACCATGATTCCAGATCATCTCGTCTTGCTAAATCAAGCCTTAAATGTGCTTTCAATGAGCCATATCGTGTTGTACCTCGCCATCCTACTTCACCACGTGATGGAAGTAATTTACCATTCTGTAAAATTTGAAAAGAATAGAAAAAAATAAAAAATGCTTGAAATGGATCATATGTTGAAATTTAAATTTGTTAAAATTTTGTTAAAAAATTTTTAAATTTGTTAAAAATTCAACATTTTTCATCACTATTGATATATTTTCATCATTGCTATCATCTCTTAATGCATATATCTTTTTATCAATCTTACCTTATTAATGTATTTCTTTGCAAGACCAAAATCAATCAAAAATATCGTTTTGTGTTGTTGATTCTCTCGTAAACCAACCATAAAATTACCAGGCTTAATATCACGTGATATAAAATGACTCCTGTAATAAAAGATATTTTAACTCTTAACAATATAGATAATTTAAAGATTAATAAAAAGAAAAAAAATTCTAGATGGAAATTAAAATGGTAATATTAGTTTATTGTTCCTAGAAATAAAAAATATTAATTAAAGGATGTAATTAAACAACTATTCTGATTAGCAATTTCTAAAAGGATAACTAACAAATGTAATTCCTCTATAGCTTTCAATGTTTGCAAGCCTATTTGTATTGCAGTACATAGCGAGAAACGTCTGTTAATTTGCTCATTGCGTAATTTATGCAAATCTTTTCCCAGCAATGGTATTACAATGAAAATATAATCTGGTTTCTCGATACCCTGATAAGTTCCATAAAATTTCAATCATTTAAAATTAAAATAAAATTTTAAAATTTACTCTTTAAATAGATGTTTTTTTTTTTTTTGAAAATTCGTTCCAAATTCAGAATTTTATTTGTTAAACATATAAATTATTGACATGACAATTTATCAAAAGCAGTTGATCGTAGATTATTTGTAATCTTTGCATAGCTTAATTGAAGATAATAAAGCTTTTTGATTAGAATGAAAATCAGTGCAATGCATGCACGAAGTTCATGACTTCCTCAAACTTCAAATTTATAGAAATTCTTTAAAATCCTTTAAAGCAACTTTTTATTTTTTTTAAAAAAAAGAACTTACATAATCGATCAGCTCGCAAATATGTTGACTGCGTCGTCGTGCTGCAGCACGCATAACACTTGCTTCAATGTGTAGCATTGATTTACTATATTTTTCCACTTTTAAAGCTACACGATGTCTGCAATCTTATCATTTCTTCTTGATAAGTGATATTATTCAAATTTATGAAAAATAAAAAAAAATTCACAAAATCTTAAATTTGATAAATGATTGAATTGAGAAGGTAAATTTAGATTAGAATGGGAATGAGACAGAATTAAAAAAATGGGACAGTCACCAAGGATTAGGCTAGTCTAGTATTACTAGCTTATCTGAATTCCTTAACTGGCTCATTGAATAAATGAATGAATGGAAAATAAGATGAAGGAAAGTAATACTATCGTATGCTCTTCAGAAGATATTTCACGATAGAATTACAGGAAGATAATAAAATTTTCATAGCAATGATAATTTATATGTGATTAAAATCAATGACATTTATTAAATATCACGCTAGGCTAGAAAAATAGAATGATGAAAGCAGAGATAAAACTGAAAAAGATCAATCATCAAAGACTACGATAGTATTTCATACTTGTATTTCAAAAATGGCGTTAATTATTATTGTTGTAATTACAGTATAAAAAGATATGGAATTGATTTTACATTTAAGAAATGATTGTCACAAATCATCACATAAAACTTTGGCATTGGCATTTAAGAAATGATTATCAGAAGTTATCAGATAAAACTTTGACATTTAAGAAATGATTATCACAAATCACCAGATAAAACTTTAACATTTAAGAAATGATTATCAGAAGTTATCAGATAAAACTTTGACATCCAATTATATGATTATCAGAAATTACCAGGTAAAACTTTAACATCTAAAAAAATGATAATCAGAGATATTATACATCACAAGATAAATGAGTTGGAATAACAAAATTTTATCATTCTTCCTAATGACGAATGAAAATGATACAATAATTCTAATAATTTGAATTTTCAATGATATGATTTTAACTCCTAGAATGCTCTTTAAACATTGATTATTCTCTACCTTTTTTTTTTTTCCGATATCAAATTATCAACATTATTATTACTCACTCTTTCAAATTGCTATTTTAAATTAACATCCATTAAGCTTTCTTTTTTTTTTTGTCCATTTTATTTCTGACATAATTGGTCATCTATTCACTCTCCTAATGAATCTCAATTACATTATGAATTTGTCACCCACTAAATTACATAGGTATGTTTAATCTAATAAACTTCAACGATAATATTATTTAAATAATCAAATAGAGGAATTATATCATTTAATCACATTTTAATTTTAATTTAATTAATATTATCTGCATTCATATTAACAGGATAGTAATTTAGAAAAAAAAATCTTAGAAATGCTATGAGTAAATTTTTAAAAATTCAATATGAATTTTCAAACTTGGCTATTTGACATTAAACTTAGCCAAGTTTAATAAAAAAAAAAAAGGATGACATAGGAATATGATGTAATGCGGAAGTTTTCATCAAATATTGTTAATTTAGCTAATATTAAATCAAAGATTTCACGTATGTAAGCAATATGTAAAAGAGAGATGATTCCACGTAAATACGTAAGTTACTTCACGTTTTTAATTATCTAAAGTCTATGAAATAGAAATATATTGCAATTATTTGAAATCATTTATCATTTTTCTTCTATTCGCTAAATTTTAAAATAATTTTCAATCATTAGCTAATAAATTTTCCGGAAAAAAAAAACGATGAATAACGTAACCGGATAAGTACTAATACGATTCAAGAGAGTTATTTAGCAAATGGCAATGAGTAGGAAGGAATTTGAATATCCTGTACTGCAAAAACTTTTGCTACACACGTGATACGTGTCGAAATTCACGTGTAGAAAAAAAAAGGCAAAGTTTAGTTTGCTTTTTTTTTTTTACACATGAATTTTTACAAAGAATACGTATTCTTATCATATTGTAATATCGAATTCGTTATTAATGCTATCATACTTACGCATATATTATTATTAATATAATATATATGATAATATTAATTACAATATTAATTAATTACGCTACAGTCGCGAAAGATAGTTAAAAGAGAGATGAATGTTTTATATAAAATGATTTCAACGTATTCATTGGTCTAGAAAAAAAAAAAAAAAATCATATCCATTAAATGTTAATATTTCTTTAAACTAACCTTAGTATTATGGTTTGACAGATATATCATTACAATTAAACTCCTCATCTGATACTATTTTCCATGGGAGTCATTAAAGCACTAAATAGTTTAATTTAAATCGAAAAATTTCAAAACATATATTTGAGCTAAGCTTAAGATACCTGCATTACAATATGTACTACCGTGAATCATTTTATCAATTCAACAGATAACATCACCTCAGTGAAAATTTTTCACCTGATACTATCTTCGATGTGAGTCATTAAATCATTGAGTAGTTTAAGTTGAACCAAAATTGATGTAAGTCATTAAATCATTGAGTAGTTTAAGTTGAACCAAAATTAATATGAGTCATTAAATCATTGAGTGGTTTATGTTGAACCAAAATTGATGTAAGTCATTAAATCATTGAGTAGTTTAAGTTGAACCAAAATTAATATGAGTCATTAAATCATTGAGTGGTTTATGTTGAACCAAAATTGATGTAAGTCATTAAATCATTGAGTAGTTTAAGTTGAACCAAAATTAATATTAGTCATTAAATCATTGAGTGATTTATGTTGAACCAAAACTTTCCAAACACATATAACATTTTATTTCTAATTTTACTGAATAAATAAAAAAAATTATTCATACTTATGAATAGAAAATGATAATGTAAATATTATAACATAAAAATGGGATGGAATGATAGATAATAAAGGTTGAAGAAAGAATGTGATAAAAGTTAATGAAGAAGATTCTAAAAATGAATAGATACAAAGAATAATGTATGGAATATTTTATCTTTGCTTAATTTAGACTAAACAAAATAGGTTCATTAATTAGTAGCTTGAATTGATGATCATAGCTATCATTCGTTCCAATTGGAATGATCACTTCTAAGAAACAAATTATCTCAACCTTAATCAATCATTCCATCTATTCTTCCAATTACTTATTAACTAATACATAAAAAATAAGATTGATCTGCTGATGATATATGAAAATTGTGATAATATAATGTATAAAAAAAAAAAAGAAATTAAAAATGATTACCTATAAGCTTAATGAAAGAAAATCCAATTAGAAATGGTTACCTATAAAGTTAATTGGAGAAAATTCAACTAACCCATTAGCAGTTTCACTTTCATATACAGTACCATAACCACCTTCACCAATAATCTTATATAGCTGATAGGTATGTAGATTACTTTTCACCAATTCCTTCAATTTCGGTAAACGATCCTTTCCAATGGAGCATGTGACAGTTGATGGTTGATGTGACGGAGGTGGTGGTGGTGGTGCAAGTGGTATGGATGCTACACCAACCGTCATTAAAAAAAAAGAAAAGAAAACTTAATGTTTATTATTTGTCACGGAAGGCTAATAATTTATGTAAATTTGACACTAAAAATGAGAACAAAAGCCAGCATTAACCAGAAAGCTGGCACTATTCAATCATAGTAAAATAGAACAATGAAATTATCGAAGGGAAATTACCGCCTTTTAAATGCAACTTTCCTCATCAAGAAATTTGCATTAAGAAAATATAAATCGTAAAAAACAAATTCAAATCCTATTTAATTTGTCAAAAATATCGCAAACATAAAGAGAGATACATTGAATATATTGCTAATACCATGAGATGAATCTTTTTACAGCTGTAATTGTTTAGATATGGGAAAATACAATTAAATAATACCGAAAGGAAACAATTAATTCAAATTTAAGTTTTGAGAAATAAACAAACAATCAATTGTGTAATTAATGAATTATTCACGTCTAGCATTCCGATGATTTGAATTATTTGATTAAAGTTTGTTTACAGTTTAACCTTATGCAGTAATTGTTTTTATCTTAAATGGAATGAGTTCACATTTAATAAACACTAGCAACAGTATAAAGCATTTGATCCAATAAATTTGAGAATAGGAAATGAACAGAAGTGATTTGTTTTCCAGTTTGAGATTTCCATAATGATTAATCCATCGTCTATTAAATATCATGATTTCAATGAGGTAAGAAATAAAATGTAATAAACAATGTTATTTTATTTAAACTAATTCAATTCTTCACTTGAAACTTTTTCGAGAATAAAAAATCGAGAATTTCAAGTTCTGAATATTCTTGATTTGTTATCAAACTTTCTCTTCCGAAGTTGATTACAACCAAGTGCAAAACAAATAAGATTTTATAAGGAGATGTAACATCTTTGACAATAATTCTAATCAAAAGTTATATCCAAAGACAACCCATCACAATTCGTTTTTATTAGCATATATGTGTACGAATGAATTGAATCACCTAAATGGTCGTGATAATATCACTTATTGCTATAATCATTGCTTTTTTTTACGTTTTCGATTTCGGTGCTGCGGAAATGATGGCATCATGCTTGCATCACATGGATACGGAGGTTCATTGAAATATCTGAAAGTTTGAAAAATTTTTTCTAAATTACCTCAGATCACTTTTCTTTACAATTGCTCTTCATCCCAAAACTTCTTATTTAACTTCCCCAACCAATCAAAAATATGACGATAATACCTAATTTTGGTATTCATTTGTAAAAAGCAAAAAAAAAAAAAAGAAAAACTGAAATTTTTGAGACATAATTTTATACCTAGAACGTAGTGCATCCTTTGCACAAATTCTGAGAGATGGATCATAAGTGAAGAAGCCATTTAACAGTTGCAGGCAACTATCACTAGCACGTTCCATCACACATTTTAACCTATTGTACGGTTGGGAGCGTAACTGGAAATTACGCAAAACAGGCAACTCCTCGATTCCTTTCCATATCTTTTCTGTCGGAGTACCAAGCAAATCGATTATTCTGTTAATCTGTTAATGTGTCTTAAGTTCGACAAATTATCGACAAGCATTTAACAAAATGATCAAAAATTATACATTATTGATTGAGAGCGCAATATAGACTACCTGATCAAGTTCGGTTTTCCCTGGTAAAAGAGGTCGGTGTATGAGTAATTCTCCAAGAATGCACCCTGTTGCCCACATATCAACACCGGTACTTTGTTCTTTTGCACCAAATAATAATTCCGGACTACGGTACCTGCAAAACTCTGAATTATAGAATTTTCTTCGAATTTTCGAGAATTAAACAGGACAGAAAGAGCCTTTCTATTGCTCGAAATATTTTTACTCAAATTATTCGGAATTTTACCATAAAGTAACAACTCTTGGTGTCATCTGCTTGGAAGGTTCTCCGAACGTTCGCGCTAATCCAAAATCAGCAACTTTCAAACAACCATCGTCTGTTAAGAGAAGATTAGACACCTATAAAACGATTAGATACCTGTAAAACGAATTTAAACTGTAATTGCCGGATCGAGAAATTAAGAAAGTTTAAGTAATAAACGTAAAAATTTCTTGGTAAATGTCAGGAAAAACTGAAAAAAATAAAAGGAGTTAAAATGAACCTTCAAATCTCGATGAACTACGTGTTTTCCGTGCAAATAAACCAAAGCTTTTAGTAACTGCATTACAATGCATTTAACTTGTGGTTCTGTAAATGGTACTCGCATATTGTCCAACAATGACGCCAAATCATGAAATAATTGATCAGTATGCCTGTATCCGTATTTTTCGTCACCCACTTGGCTTTTCAAAAATTAAAATTACCTGAGTACAATATTCCATAACCAAGAAAATTGAAGTCAACTGTTGCCCTACTACGATTTCCTTCAACTGAACGATATTTTTGTGATGCAAACTCATGAGTAAATGAATTTCACGAATTGCTGATATTGAAATTCCGTTCTCTTCACTTTTCTCATCCATTCTTACCTTTTTCAGTGCTATCTAAAACAAACACCAGAAAATAAATGAAATTTCAAGATCAACATTGAGCTCTCAACCTCACTAAGGTTTCAAACAAACTGATAGAAGGAGGATAAGATAGAATACAATTTCTCCAGTTTTCACATCCTTGGCCCTGTATACAATGCCATATGTACCCTCACCAATCCGATTCATTTTTTCGAATTCATTTACTGACCGACATCCTCCATAACCAATCTTGTCCTGAAAATATATAAAATGACACCATGACTTTTCCACATCTATTGAAAGCATCTTTACTTGAATAATTTTTGAATTTCCATTCCCAATAACAGCACCTTTTTTAGGAGCCTTATTTATTGCCATGAAGAATAGAAAAAAAAGCGTAAATTTCAGCATCCTTCAAACGTATATCAATCTCTAATTTAATGGTTCTATATCACTGAATTAACTGGCATACATAGAGTCACACTTCCAGGTTCACAATGTTGACATAACATATGACAATCTCACAAGTTTAGCAGCACCTCTCTGATTTTCTACCTCATATCAGGAAAAATCACCTGTAAGTAATTATAATATATAATTCTAACAGGATTATTTTCAAACATTCCAGGCTAATCATAGAATTTACATCATCGCAATAAACAGAAAAAACCTTTGAAAAAGTGGTATTCTCCAGATTAAACACCGAAACAATTTGCACCATTGATGATGAAGAACCCAATTGATGTGCTTCATCTCCCATCAAGCTGCAATATTCTACCTTATTGAATATTTAGTTGGTGGAAACGCTGAACGCAAATGAATAAGTCGTTTCTAAAATAATAAATTACATTTTTAATTCACTAAACACACCAAGCACTCATTAGTTCGTCAATATTGCTATATCTTTTCATTTATAATGACCTAATTCATTCTTCTTTCTACATTTCTACTTTTGAAATTCAGATTGCAAATTAAGTATAAATGAATAAGCAATTCTAAAAATACAAATATTAAAAAACTATCAGATCAGCGCAATATTTCACATACAGCATCGAATTCCCATAGAAACTAACTTCAACCCTCCAATAAAATTTAATAATTAACACTTGCAAGGACTATGAATTAAATTGGAATAAACAAATTTATTGTTCGTTCCCAACACGTGACGACACTAGATAAGTGAATATGTGGATGGATAAGTGGATACAGTGGATACAATTTAGATAAGTCACATTCTAAATAAAGTGAGGTAATGCTGTCACAGCTGTTTCAATAAAAGTCAAACCCGCGTTGTGCAAGTCAAAAAGAAAAGCTTCAATGTGAACTGATCATTTCGAAAAAAAAGTTCGAACTAATGGAAAAAAGATGAAATGAGCATGATGCATACTTACTGTACAATACATACTTTCCAGTTAGAATGATTTGTTAATTACTTGTTCCATCTCAGATTATTCGTCTGAATTTCTTACCTTATCTCTTCATTTTGCATTCTTCTAAACAATTTACAACTTACAATTCCATATTATACAGTCTTTCTTCTCTCAAATCATTCAATATTAGAATTGATCTGCCAATGATGCCAACTGCTAATGCAATATGCAACACAGATCCAGTAATCATTTCAATTCATCCTATCAATCTATATTTCGATATTTATGTTAACATATACCGCATAAGTCTCATAATTTGTTTTAAACTAGTGTTAGCGGTAAATGTAATGCACAAGGAATAATACATTCTTTCACATAACGCTTCCACTCATAACTTCACTAATCATGTTGATAGTAATAATTACAAATCATTACTTGCTTTACAATGTTTTTGACATGAATGAGATATTGGTGATAAATTTTGGAATATATCGTTAAATCTTCAAATACTTTAGCACTGTATCAAGTATAGCATTCAAGCTTGTTATCGTTACTTCTTTTGATTACGACGAACTTGTATATACAGTAAAGCGATAGCTATCGCACTACTAAAGCACGCATAACACATATTACTTTTTTTTTTTATTCGCCAAACAATGAATAGAAATAAAGAGTAAAATGAGTGATATTTCCCTTTACTTTTAATAAATAACACCGAAAAATGGTGTGAATAATTTGGAAATAAAACATAGGGAAAGGAACAATTAATTAGAAAGCCAACTAAAACAATTCGCAGCGAGATCTTCGGCTCAAATCTTTTGTTATAGAATATCCTTCGAAGATCTGAAAGAAAAATTGAAATCCAACGACGAACTAAACAACAAACAAACGATGAATTTGAGCACTGCACGTAACAATAAAAACATTCAAAAAAATTAATTATCCAAAAAAAAAACAATTAAAGAATGCCCGAACGATTATTTTCACATCCAAATGATTTCAAATCCCGAGCAAAAAAAGAAAAAAAAACAGGAAAACAAGAAAAAAATGGCGATACCATAGTTGTCGCAGACATCACAAGCAAAAATCAGAAAGTGCTAGAGTTAATCAGATGAAATTCTTCTGGTCTCATCATTTATCCCATGAAAACATTATACAATGAACTTTTTGCACGTGAATTACGAAGGAATCAAGAAGTCACAATAATCAGACTTACAAAATCGTACAGAATGGATCTTATGGCTCTTAGCAGAGAGATATAAACAGAAACACTTTTCGGTATCTCTTGAAGGTAAAAGATGGATGAAATACTGAACTGTTAGTATGATAAATGTGCCGCCCCGAACTAACTTCTGGATTTCACACCTGAGGCTGGAACGTTTAGGGGATGTATACGAAGCAGTGTCTTTACCATCTGACCCTCGTTCTCGTTGCATAGTTCGTCGCACTGATCGTCTCTTTCCTAGATACACTTGAGACATACTTTCCGAAGCAAATTTCATCCAAAGATCGCTGAGCTAACGCTACCACCATTCACGGCAGTTTCTGATGGGTTTTTCGTCATTAAAACGCCATTTCTCTTGGAAGTCAATGATGTTGTTGGTGTCTCTGATGGTACTGCATAAAACTGACTTGATCGTGCTTTTATCATTAACTCGTAGCACCTGTTGCACACGCGCACATTCCCACCTTTATTTTCGTATACTCGAAAAAAAGTACGTTTCGAACACGAAGAACAAAATATTCCTCCACAATTCCTGGAAACAAATGAGAAATGATTCTGGTAACCAAAAACTTTGATTACTCTGCTGTGAACAAAGCTATACATATAGAATCACAATATTCAACAATTCATGACAAAACCAAAGTGGTAAAGCTCCTAAACCTATTTCATCGCCTTCATCGCACAGGTTAGCCTCTGAACACAAAGGGAACGATAGACTAACCTGCAATGATGTCTTCGATTGCTTAGGTAGTAGAAGGTTCCCTGGCAACTCATGCATTTTTGTGAGGCATCATCCATTAACCACCCTTTCGAACCGTATGAAATATCCGCAACATCGTCTTTTTCAACAACCGACATATTTGAAAGATCTGACTCCACAGAACACGATGCACTATTGCTCTCACCGAACTTAAATTTACAGCACTTAAGTTTCTTTAATGAGTCAACGGAAATATAATGAAAAAATCCGAATACTTTGTCAAGGTAGGAAAAGGGAGATAATGAACCGGCGTCAGCCTCAACTTACGATTAATGAATCCGTCCCGGGTGACTCGCCACTAATTCCATAACTTACTTTCTGCATTTCTTCCTTTTTCAATTGTCCAAGTTTTTCTTGCAATATATCAATACACTCCTGAATTACAATTCAAAAAAATGTACAAATTGCTTCTCATCTCATTTCTCATAATTTACAGGATATACTGTGCCTTTGATAAGCATTTCAAACCGAACAACGCAAAATCTATTTCCTTTAAGCTCTAGTGGATAATTGTTTCAAAAAGGCTAAATAAAGAGAGAATTGTGTTTCACTTTACAAAAAACAGTAAAAAAATATTAATTTTCATATCTATAATCATACAAAAAATCCTATTCGCTTTCCTTTCGGTTTAACCTTTTTTACTATAATATGAATAATATTTTTTGGCAATATCAAAATATTAAAAGTAAAATACATCAGAGAACAACAACGTGCTAATAGTTGTGCGAACAACACAAGGGGAAAGAAAGACGAAATGTTGAAAACGAAAATCTCCAGATTTGTTAGACAAATTTAAGTCCTTTTCCCTCACTATTCGTTGTTAACTATCGGCTAAAATGAGTTAGAGAATGGCAGGTCCACTAATCTGAATCCTCAGCTCGGTAATCGCTTTCTTCAAATCCGAGAAACTTTCTTCGTTCAAGTAGCATTCTTATCTGCGCCTAAGAATAACTATTGCATCAGATATGCACTCTCGACAAAGTGAAACAAATAAATACTAGGAACTGCCCACCTGTAACTTTTCGAATTTCTCACGGGTCCTTTCTTCGCGTATTTCTAAAACTTTCGTCAAACCATCGCAATCTACTTCCCTCTGCAAAGTCAAAGAAAGTGTAGAACCCTAGGTGGATAGGGTATAATGCGTAACATCCTATCGAAGATTTTTCTTTTCAATCTTTTTGAGATTATGAATTTAGCAAATGAATTTTGGGTTGTAGTTAATTACAGTTCAATACTTCCAGGAACAAGAGCTTACAGCGATAGTACTGCGATCTCTTTCACGATATAATGCGAACGATAAATCATTTTCGTCGGGTCGTGCATAATCCGTTTCACTTGAAACTGATGTTCGAATATTGCTGTTGTGAAATTGAGCATGTGTATTTCCAGCAAAACTGTAAGAGAAATGGGTGATTTACACGTTGTGAAGAGCAAAGCTGCAGACTTGGTTGACTATGTCATAAAAATCTATAAAGTTTAATTTTTATCTTAGGACATAGAGATATACCGATTTATACCAACATACAAGAGATATAATACTGTAAGCGGCAATGGAAATTTTTGAGCGGAACTGATTTAAGTACGAAAGTTATAATAATTAAGTAACAAAGATATACGATGTATTTGATGATCCCTGGCATACACCAGTATCCGTATTGGAAAGACTTTCCGCAGAATGGGCTCTATTCAAACTGATACGATCGACTTCACTATGTTGACTTGCACCCATTCCTGAGTTTGACAGTGTCTGTTCCTGTAAAACGAGACGTTATTAAACTTATTAGCCTACTGATAGCACTGAAAACCAGTCACAGCACATCTAGCAAAATATAGAAAAAAAAGAGTGTTCATTTTTTGAAATATAAATTTCAAACTTTGGTTTCTGACAAAATTTGCAAATTCCTTTACGAGTGCATAATTAAGTATATGTGGCAACAAATAAAAATGATTAAAAATAAGCAACACAACTAACATTAATCAATCTTTCGATAGCAGGTCCAATATAAAGTTGCTTCCAGATATGAAGATCCTCAATATGTAAAGATGTATGGAGTCGTTGATTGCTTTTCCCAGGACTATAAATAACATTACCATATTCCGGCTTGGATTCATCCAAAAACGTCCAAAGCGAAAGTGTTTCTGCATCTTCCGTATCTTTATTCCAGTTTTCTCGCTCAGATTGACTGTTCCAAAGGAATGTCCCAAATAATCCGGAATAACAATGAACAGCTAATTTTGTCTAAAAAAAAAGAACCATTGGAGCAGTCAGAACTAAGAATCGTCCAAAAATATTTAAAGTAAAAGCAAAGTTAAAAAAAATTTGTCAACCACCAAACTATTCCTCAGCAAGTTTAACGGTTGACAACTTTTTCCGACAAACTATTTTTTGCAAATGCGGCAATACCAGTTTAAGACTGAAATGGTATGGTTCAATTTTTTTTTGAGTCGCATTATCACCTGAACCTCAACTACTTAGAAAAAGGATTGCAAAAAGTTCTTACCAAATAACTTAAAGTGAACTGAAAGGCATCTGGAAACAACTGATGTAACTGGTGAACACAGTCAAGCCATTGCAAAAAGACTGGTGATGATTCCCCACTGACGCTACTACGCGTACCTGTGCGATCAGCAAATTTGTGTCCGAAACCAATCCAGTCACGACAAACCAATACTTTGAAACCCTGAAGCATTGCATTAAGAATAAAAATGAAAAACCTGGTGAAACCCACAAATTTATTTGCACTTGAAGTGCTCACCTCAAAAGTCCTATAATATGGATCAGCAATTATTTTCGTAAGTGTGACAATTTGCGTCGTTCGATCCCAACCATCTGTGCAATGAACCAGAACTGATCGTCCTATAAAAAAAAAATGCACCGATTTCAAGAAGGAATAAGCAATCGAATATTCTGATATCTACTTTGCAAATTTTAATTCATTTAAATTTGAGAATCCTGCAGACTTTATAGCCTTTCCTTTTGTTTGACTCACTAAAACGTATCAGCTTTTATTCGTTTCATGTTTAGCGAAATTATTAGAATCAAATACGAAATTTGTAGAAGTAAAACTAACCATCATCGACAAGTGCTTTTACGCATTTCTGTGCGGTATCAATGAGACTTATAAGGTACTGCAGCCAAAAAGTGGACTGAATTGATTGAAGGGTAGTGTTGTGATCTTGAGGACCAGCAAGGACAGTTCTCAGCTTATGAAAACTACTTCGGATTTCGTGGATATTAGCTAATCCACAAAAGATGACCTCCGTTTGCTGATAATACTCTGGAAGCAGTACACTTCTGATAATGACATATAAAATTCCATCTATTAAAAATGCTGCTTAATAATGAGTTCCCTCCTGTTATGATAAAAAAACGCCAAACATGAAATCGGAAATAAACCTTCTGACTCGGCTCCACCACCTTTTACCACTCGATTTGCAAGGGCTGCAGTATATGAACGACAGTCCACTATTAACAACTTTCGAGACGACGGTCCTGCAACTGTTTCCGCAAACCGATAACACAGATTTTTATATTTCATATAACTATAAAATTATGATATAAATTGAAGTATAAATCAATCGATATTTCGGCAACAAACTTACTTCCATTAACAGCTTTTCTAGCACATTCCAACAGCTTTTCATCTAATGGAAATCGATAGTTGAAAATACCACAACATGGTTGACTGCTGCGTAATAAGACGGATTCATTTTTGGCGCAACACCAAACCGCAGCCGGAAATCGAGCATTATTCCGAGCAGCACACGCTCGACGCAATTCATCATCCGTTATATCATTTGGAACTATAACTGACTTCGGATATGTTGCACATAGTCTGAAAAAATCTATTTGATTTGAATGAAGAAATTTTAGCACTGAAAAATACACTCCTTCTTCCATGCATTGCTTGGCACTTCTCATCTTTGACCATTTCACTGAATTCCAAGCAAGGATTTTTCAGTGAATGAGAATACAAATCTCGATTGACAGTAACTGAGGCAAGTTTTAAAAGGCTTCTAAGAGGAACAAGAACATACGAATAATCAGCATTAGCTTCTGAAACTCTCCAAGAACGAGGATTGTAATTGAGCCGCAGGAATTCTTTTTGTGCTGAGCACTCAGAATCAGCTGTTTCTTTGCGAAATTTAAGCCAACCAGGGAGTTGAGCCTAAAATAAAAGACGAAATGGTTCGAAAAAAATTAGAGTGGAATCGATAGATAAATCATTAGACCACTAAAATAACGTCAAATCTAGCAGAAAAAATCATGACATGAACCAGAACTTTGGTTCTTTAAATTATATCTATTATTCGCCATTCTTTTAAAATCTATCCTTTGGCTATGCGTTAGTCTGTTGACAACAAAAATCACTTCACTTGAGAAGATACCTTTGCAGCTTTGGCAAACTGCCATGCAAAAACATCGTTTGTAGCAATATTATAAGTCGCTTTTTGCAATCTTTTATGCAGTTCCACTTGCACCTCGCTTGCACACCTCAACCTTAAAAAGAACTAATTATTAACAAAAATTAAGTCGACTACATTTTATAAGAATTAGATTTTTTGTACTGCACCCTGTGGCAGCTATTGCGTAACGCTTACCTCTAAGAAGCACCCTCAAAATCATGAGAAATGAAATCGTACACCAATGTTAGTTTCTCTTCGACCCAGGATTTCCAGCCAGCTTTACATACATTTACCATATCTACTAAAAGTCTTCAATCTCCAAGAATGTCTTACCTTTTAATTAATTTCAGTCAATAATACCTGCATATTCGGCCAAATTTGCATGCAATCTGTATTCCATATGGATCGCCAGACCAGAATTCAACTGTATCAACACTCAAAAGTGGAATAATTGCCAGAGCGTTTTTTACACGATCCAGTATTACAATTCGATAATTGGTTATGTAAACAGTACCGGAACCGGTATCCATAGTTGATTCCAGTAATTCTCCAGGAACAGCACCAACCGGAAGTGTTTCTGACATTTTAGCCTAAACATTTAATGGTTTTTCCAGATATAACGAAACTTGTAAAATGTACACAATTTCGTAACTCAGGATTAATTTGACTAAGTTATAAGTAAAAACTACGTCGGGATTTGAAAGAATTGTTGCGTGATAAAACATGCATCATATTTTAGACAAAATCCTCAATTTCATAAATACTTATTACTAAAACCCATCAGATTGAGAAAAAGAGAAACGTGAAGCTTCCACTACTTACAACATTGACTGGAAGTAATTGCTCCATTCCTAAAATCCTAATTATCGCGGACAAAAACATTTCAGCCAACATTCTCTTATGACACTCCTAGTAAAGTGATATTGAAATGCAAAAACAAGGAACAAGCAAATAAAATATGGCGGGTAATATATTGTTCCCGTATTATTGCCCCACCTTACAACTGCACCAAGAAATAAAGCAAGGATAGGAATACCTAAGGGGGAAAAAATATAAAAAAAACAAACAATACTGTCCTCTCGTAACTGCTATCCATTACAATATGAGGCATGTTATATGAAAAAGTCATATCAGAAAAAAAAAAAACAAGCTTGTCCACAATTTCTTTTCATCTGCATCAAAATGTCTTAAATCTTGAAAAAGGCGGATGTTAATGTAAAATGTCGACCACTTTACGTATCGAAAGAAACAAATAAAGGTCACCGCTGTTTTAAATATATGTATATATATATATATATATATATATATATATATATATATATATATATATA